AGCTAAATAAACCAAAATATTGCTGTGAAGACATCCCATGTTGAACTTTTATTTGACAACTTTTTTTTTTGCTTCACTTTTATTTTCAGCTTTTATTCTGTGATGTTTTACGTTTGGTTGAAAAAGGCTTTTATTCTGACAGTCAAGTTTGGGCTTCTTGGATTTTTCCAGCCTTTTGTTACTTCAAGCTTCTAATTACTAGTACTTTTACTTCTAGCCGATACTTCTGCTTGAGCTAGGTGTTTGCAGTTTAAACCTTAATTTTTAGCTATCATTTTGCAGCTTTTAGCTTTTAGCTACCATTTTGCAGCTTTTAGCTTTTGGATTGCCTTTGATTGCTTTAGCCAACTTCTTCATTCTAGCCTTTTCTGATTATTTTAGCTTTTAGCTATCCTTTAACTACTTTTAATTAGCATTTGCTGCTTTTAGCTTTCATCTAGCTCTTTGCTATTTTTGGCTTTTATTTGACTGTTTTCAGCCGGTGTTTTGTTTTTGTTATTTTCATCAACTCAGTTTCAGCCTCTTCACAAACGTCAGCAGAGGATTGAGCACTCAGCATTCACTGCATGTTTGCAGAAATGTAATTTCTCTTGTGGTTTATTTTCTGTCAGACTTTTATTGTTTCTTTGCCTCGAGTCTCATTTCCTCCTCCTTGAATCACCATCTCATTGTGGTGCAGGACTTTGTGCTCCCGAATGATCCTGGGAGCTCTGCTGTCGGGGGCACTTGCCCCTTGTAGAGTCTCAAGGCAGACGTGGAACGTGACCTCTCTGGTGGAGATGGAGCCTGAGCTTGAGACGGTGAGAGGTACCGACTAGTTGGGCTCACCTCGACTCACAGCATGGGCTCTGGACTAGAGGATCACATTTTGTCAGGAGTCCTGCGGGTCACGGGATTCCAGCAGGACAGGAGTCAACTTTATTATAACTCACAGGATTGGGATGAGACAAGATGCAAATTGAACAGGACCAGACATGAGCGGGAACCAACAAATAAAAAAATATAAACTTTGGACAGGCGTCGCTATTTTCTAGTTTTTCTTTCGATAAGCTTCACTCTGGAACCAGACCTGCAATTCTCCGGTCTGTAATGTGTTAAACACAAAGCAATATAAAAAGGAATGGGAAGAAGATTAAATCAAATTCAGTGTATTTCCTAAAAACTAAATGGAAGAAGGGAAAAAAAACCAGTAGTGGTACAGGAGTGGGAGTGGTTCTGACTGGGAACAGGAATCATGCTTCCAGGATTGGGACAGGAGTGAAAATCCACTCCCGTGTCATCCTCTCCTCTGGAACTGATCTCCTTGAGATGAGCTGGACCTTATTCCACTCTGGAGTTGTCCATGGTGAGGGGAGGAACGTAGACCGACCAGTAAACAGAGAGCTTTGTCTTACAGCTCAGCTCCCTCTTCACTGCAATGGACCGGCACAGAGTCCACAATACTGCAGACGCTGCACCAATCCATCTGTCTCACGCTCCATTCTTCCCTCACTGTGAACAAAACCCAGAGAAACTTGAACTCCTCCACTTGAGGCAGAACCTCAGCTGGATCTTGTCTTGATCTGTCGTTACTCACGTGGGCATTGAAGTCCCCCCAGCAGAATAAAGGGGTCCCCAGCTGGTGCACCTTCCAGGACCCAGCCAAGGTCTACAAGAAAGCTGGATACTCTGAACTGCTGTTCGGCACATAGACGCAGATAACAGAGTCCTCCCCCCCCCACCTGAAGGTGCAGGGAAGCATCACATGGGAAAACTCCAACACACAGGCACCAAGTCGGGGGGGGGGGGGGGGGTGTTACAAGTAGACCCACACCAGCTCAGCACCTCTCACCTCTGGTCAGGAACTCTGGTAGAGACTGAAAGAATGAGATCGTGGATCCAGGAGGTTCAAGTGAGTTTCCTCTGCAGAGCTGGACTCTCCCTCAGAGACGGGGTGAGAAGTTCAGTCATCAGGAGAGACAGGAGTGTCATAAAAAAAGGTCATTCATGGGATATTTTGCTAACAGACAGCCAAATTAACCCACACGCTAACGGGCACGTTCACGTGCACGTCATGGCTGTGGTCAGTATCGTCACATTTGCCATTTCCAGCTGGGTTTAGTGCTGCAGAGTTTAATTCGCATGGATCACAGCTCGGTTCACTTTAACGAGGCGCCGATCGATCTTTGAGTTTTTAACGAACCAAAGTTCTGGACGGTTCTGACCCGACGCTCACGGTGGAGCGTTCCTACATGACGATGGCTACAGATGTCTAAAACTGAGGTGTGTTGAGTTTAAAAATCAAAACATCAAAGCTGTAAGGGTTTACTGAGGAACCAACGGCCGTGTGGACGATTTGAAATAAAACAGCCTTCATACATTTCAGATTCAAGTTTATCTCGTGCAAGAGTAAAATAAATGTTAATTTCAAATAAAGGTATTGAAATTAACATCATTTGTGTTTAATCTTATTCATATTTGCACCACAACTTGTTTTAACAAGTTGTTTAACCATCGTCCCGATTTAACCCAATCCCAATGTAACCCATTACCATTTAGCCAATGGGAATCCACTGGTTCCTAAAAAGGAAGAAAACAAAGAAATGTGAAATTATCTGAACTATCACTTTAAAATAAACAAAAACTGATGGATTGTGACTTTAGGGAACAAGTGTCTTGAGCTCGACAGAATGTTTGTTCTGAACTTTTTTATTATTTGATCGTTCGTTACGAGGCTCCAAACACAAGCCCGTGTCTCTGATGTGCACGAGCTCTCATCTTGTGACCTTCAGACCGACCTTCACACAGACTTCAATCATTCCTAAATGTCACTTTGGGAAAAGTCTGTAATCATTTCTGACCCTGCAGTCATGAGTCTGACGGGCAAAGTGCTGCAAAGTTCATCGTATTGGCAAATCTGTAAAAACATAAAAGTATCTGAAACCACTTCAGCTGTGTGTGTGTGTGTGTGTGTGTGTGTGTGCGTGTGTGTGTGTGTGTGTGTGTGTGTGTGCATGTGTGTGTGTGTGTGTGTGCGTGTGCATGTGCAGCTAGTTTTAGAAGCAGAGCAGAACTGGCAGACATGTCCAGCTGTCTCACCTCTAACACCCATTAGCTGTGGTCCCGTCCTCGGGTCGACCTCCCGTCCTTTAGTCCCAGAAACACGACTACCTGTGGGCGTCTGCTTCGTTTCCAGCGGCGACAATGAAGTCGAGGTAAAGAGATTAATTGGTCGGAGTCGGAGCGTCCTAACA